TATGCGCTGGAAGACAGTGTTGGGTTAATGTAGGGCATAAAAAAACTACCCAAATACGGGCATACTTGACTCCGTGTATTTACACTTAGTTCATCATCATCATCATCGACCCATGCTCGTTCACTGCTGGACATAGGTCTCCCCTAATACACGCCACTGCTCCCGATTTTCTGCCACTCTCATCCAGCCCACTCCAGCCAGCCTACGAATGTGATCATCCCATCTTGTCTCAGGGCTTCCCACACTACGTTTACCGAGTCGAGGTCTCCACTCAAGAACTTTACGGCTCCATCGGCCGTCAGTTCTGCGGCTAATGTGACCAGCCCACTGCCACTTCAGTTTGCTAATTCGGTGGGCTATGTTGGTGACTCTGGTTCTCTGTCGGATTACATCATTTCTGATGCGGTCCTTCAGGGATACTCCGAGCATAGCCCTTTCCATAGCTCTCTGAGCGACTTTAAACTGGTGGACCAGTCCAGCCTCATGGCTGGACACTTATGTGTCCACGTCTCGGCGCCGTATGTCATAACAGGGAAGGCGTACTGGTCGAAGACTTTCGACTTGAGACATTGAGGGATGGGTGACGTGAAGACTTGACGAAGCTTAGGAAATGCTGCCCAGCCCAACTGAATTCTTCTATTGGCTTCTCTCTACACTTAGTTGTTTACCAGAATTCTATTCGGGCTATCAACCAAGTGTAATAGATGAAAGGTATAGTAGTCTGTTATTATAATATATTCTGTAATGTATCTGGTGTGAAATTTGTCACCAGTTATAGCTAGACAGTTGAAATTTTCACAGATGATGTATTTCTGTTGCTGCTATAACAAAAAATACTAAAAATAATAAAATAAATATTTAAGGGGGCTCCCATACAGCAAAAGTGATTGTCTATCGTTGTAGATAACAGTACCCTTAGTACGAGTTTTACAATTACGAAAACTATGATAGTTTTCGTGAGCTCGCACTCGTACTAAAGGCATTAATTTTATTGTTTTCGTTTCAATACAAATAAACAGTGTTTAAATTCTATAATTAAATCATTTGCGTCTTCTTAAATTGTAAATACATTTGGTTACTTTTCACCAAAATGGACATAGAAACATAATTTACAAATACGAAAACTATGATAGTTTTCGTGAGCTCAAACTCGTACTAAGGGTACAGTATGAAAACCCTAGTGCGCTGGTCTGACTCTCAATTGACCAGTTTTTTTTAAAGATTTCTCTACACGTGTTTTCACACCGCCCGTTTTAAAATATCTTCCATCTATATAAGCTTGTAACCATTACATAACATTATTGGCAACAGTGAAAACAATCTATTATATTTTTGTTTATTAAAAAAACTTACAGAGGCGTCATTCATACGACGTATTTACAATTCTACATTGCCAAAATAATAATAAGACACATCAAATTGGTTGCCAAATGCATAATAAGTAAGAAATTATTCAGATTCGCTCTACTCTAAAATATGTGCCATATTTTGCCTTTTTAGTGTTACCACATAAAACTTGGATGCGATGCGACCTTTTTCTAATCCAATAAATTATATGTGATTCACGATTTAGCACCAAAGTAGGCAAACCTTTAAAGAAAATTTAACGGGGAACAATTTCTCTTTCAGTGCATATTTCAGACGGGATTCAAACCCGCGTCTTTTAATTTTAAGAAGTCTATTTAATTATTGTAAAAATAGCTTTTGATTTTCCACTTTTTATAAGCCAGGGTTACATCAATTTACTAAGCATACCTGGCCTGCAATCTCTTTTTTATTTCGTAAAAAAACAAAATCAGTAAATTAGAGTTTGTAATTGAGGATTTCCATTGTTATTTTCTGAAAGTACTCATCAGATCTTTACCAAATTATTAAGAGACCATCTTGTTATGAAACTCTTTTTAACAAAAAAAATACCATTAAAATCGGTCCACTATCCTCAGAGGATTATGCGTGAATAACAATAAAAAAAAACGAATTGAGAACCACCTTCTTTTTCAAGTCGGTCAAAATTAAGAATCAAAAATGTCCCCATTCAAACAACACCTAACGTTATATGTTTGAAAAATTACCTAGTGTTGAATGTTATGGAGAATTAGTCTAAGGCGTATTACAGAATGACAACTAAGTGTTGATCTTTACTTGAGAACAGTTCGAAAGGGATGTCGCTATGTGCTATATATAGCGACATCCTTTTCTAACTATAATACGGGCCTTAGTGACACTTATAATCTTACCTCCCAATACAATGCGAGAATTTAGAAAATAAAAATACGTACAGACCTAATTGTTAAAATCAATACATAGTCTTTTTTTTCACAACCTTCAATGTTTGTTTGTAATCAAGCCAAAACGTTATCTGATAAATTCCTCTCATATCTATAAATACTGCTTATGACATCATTCCGAAAGCTGGATCGTGAGGTCGTTCACATTGTAATATTTATAATCGTATCATTATTATGATAATATAACTGCTCATTGTGGAGCTCTCCAGAATCTTATCTACACTGTGATAACATAATATATTGAAGTAAATTAAAAATACTACTCCCAACTCAAGAACAAACCGAGCATAGTGCGACGAGCGTCACTCGCCACAATTACATTTAAAAAAAAAAAAAAAATCCAACACACCAATTAGCCTAGCCCCAAAGTAAGCACTATAAGGCTTGTGTTATGGGATACTAGGGTAACGGATAGAATACATATACTTTACATATATAAGTATATTTATATAGAAATACATATTAAACATCCATGACTGGAGTACAAATGCTCGTGTTCATCACACAAACATCTGCCCCCACCGGGATTCGAACCCGGGACCTCTCGAGTCGGCGACGCCATGAAACCCGGCGTACAAACCACTCGGCCACGGAGGTCGTCGATTTTGACCGCGCGCTAGGGTTATTATTGCACACAAGAACTACAAGGCCTAGAGACGGCTCTAGCGGCCTTCATTCCCTACAGACACTTGGGATACCTAAGTATCACTCGCACGTTGCCTACCCAATCCCCATGGGGTCCTGGAACCTTTCTCACAGACAGAAATACAGTACCACCAAAAGGTTGTGTTAAGCGTCACTCGCCACCATTTCCTATAGACATTCGCGATACCGGAGTATCACTCGCACGTTGCCTACCCCGACCCAATCCCGTTGGGGTCCTTTTTTTTGTGACGCAGGCAAAACCTCTATTTACAGACGACGGCGCCTTTAAGAGGCACACCGCCGAACGGACCTCACACCTGGCTTCCGCAAGCCTTACGAGCCCCCGCAGTGGCTGCCCACTGAAGACCCCTGAGTAACTTTTACGGCATAATATCCGCTAAAAATACAAAACACCCTGCGAAGACCCTCTAAACTGCTGAGAGGGAAACCGCGGGGTCCCCGTTTAGGGATTCTTCTGTGTCCATCCCCTTGGGGCGCTGGAACCTTTCTCACCAACAGAAACACAGCACCACGAAAAGGTAGTGTTGTCACACTGTGGTCTTTTTTTCTATAGCTTCGCACGGCTTGTGCATTTAGCCAATGTCAAGTGTTAAAATGTTTACAAATACTATAGCACTCGTAGTCAAAGTAATAAATCAAGTCAAAGTAAGTGGCAGTCAAGTCAATCCCCTTTTCCCTATGTTTCAGTAAAAAGTGTGGTGATTCACTGGAACCTCCCCGTGGACTTCTTGAGGGAACGTCGAAAGACACTTTCCGCTATTTTGTTTCACTTGCCAACACTTGTGCATATTCCCGAACACTTAGTGGTTAATAATCCACCATTATTAGACACTAACATCCGCCACAACACAATTTTTAACAAGAAAAACAAAACTGCTAAAGTGAAGCTTCCCGATCCCGCCAAAAATTCCACTGTGGTCTTTTGTAAGATGGAAGTTAAAAAGGATGTTCCAATTACAAATTCGCAAAAATAGTGCAGCATGACGAATATGATGTGCAATCGTGTAAAATCTGACGCAACTCTAACAGCAAATTTAATAGTGGTGTAATTCGCAGTGAGCGAGATGCAAGATAAAGTTATCGTCAGTAGGGTTACCAATCATAAAGTTACGAGAATTTGCCACTGACAGTTTGAGAGCTGATTTTTCAATTGCTGGATAAAACTTGTTTGTTTTGTTTCGTGTTATACGGTTTATGAAGAATTGTTAATTCTTCATATTTGATGTCGCAGATGACATTTTGTTTTTGATTGTGTTTTAATTTCTTCTTAAGATAAGTTTTATCTGATTCTAATTAGGTATTTTTGTTATATAAATTTTTTGATTTCGTTTATTTTATACTTATTTTATTTTTTATTTTATTTTTATTCATTTTGGTTACATGGAAGACCAGCAGCTTACCTCAATAAACTATAAATGAATAGTAGCGACAAAGAGCCAATTACAGGTCCTCACATCTAGACATAAGTTAAAGTTAAGAAGAAACTATTGCCACTCTTTCAATCCACTTCCAATTACACTTCCAATGTAAAAAACAATTAATTATAATCTCCCCAAAAACATACGAGCAATGATACGTCAAATCGACGCCTCGCTAGTGTTAAAAATATCTAAATTTACCTGTTTTGATAGTGAATTGAAGCTGCTACTTGCTCGACAAAGAAAAGCGTTCTGCCGATAATTTAAAGTGTTACATTTATTGAATTTGTTGCACTTTATTTTTAATTCATTTAAAAAGGGCTGCAAACAAGAACAGGCTGTACGTAAGCGACAACCATAGCGTTTAGATGCTTGATGAACCATAGCGATATTAAAAAAATATCACATACATACTTCTGGTATCGGCAACCCTAGAGAATGATAAAAAGAAACATGTTTACATTATGTGATGGATGATTCATTCCATTCATTCAATTCCGTGGTTTCGATGTGTAGTGTAGTGATTGTGTTTCTCACGTTAGTAAATATTGAGCGACGGTTCGGTCGTGTTGCATTGGAATGTGTTTTATAGTATTTGAATGTATCTGAAGAATAACTCTTTGAAATAAAAACTTCAGTCCATTTTCGGAGTAAGGATATCGGTGTTATAATAGAATTTTGTGTCAAAACTTCATTGTTGAACTAAGGATCAATTCTGTGAGGTAATTTTTATGATTATATCTAAGTGAGGTAGGGCACAACGGATTTCCCGCTCGTATTGGAACGCCCCCCTGTAGAGGTAACCATAACATTTTGTTGGTGTTGTGTTTCTGGCGGTGAATAGGTAATATATAAATATATAATAAGAGATAAAAGTTTAAAGAATTTGGAATAATGACGGTCGCATCACAATACATATACGAAAATTTATTACTTGTAAGAATAAATATTAATTTGTTTCTTTAAAACAGTGATGTTCACACACTTAATACAAGAAACAAAAATAAAGTAACTTTACCTGCTACTAGGCTTCACAAAATTAATAGTTCAGTTAAAGGTCTTTGTGTTTGCTTATACAATAAAGTCCTAAGCAATATCCAAGAGTTAAATATAAATAAATTTAAAGATAGTATAAAAAAAGCACTTATTAAAAAAGCTTATTACAAAGTATCTGATTATATTACAGACATAAATGCTTGGGTTTGAACTGTTCCAATCATTCCAACAGGTTTTCTATATTAAATAAATCATAATTGTATTGACGTTGTAACAACATAATGATTTGTAAATGTTGTTACATTAGACTTTTAATGTTGTGGAGTATCTTTCGCTCGTTTTTCTCCTCAGATAAAAAATATGTCCATAACGAGTGGTAGGAAAAAAAATGTTTGGATGATTCAAAAGAGTTGTACTATACATCCAATTTGAATAAAGATATATTGATTTCTGATTTCTTATGTGTGTGTATATTTTATGTATGTGCATCAATTTGTATTTAAGTATTATTATTTTATTGCTGTTGTCAATTTTCATTTTATTAAATTTTTAGCAACTTTGCCCTATCGCCATACTATTTGTCTCCAACACTCTTACTGGTTGACTGTTAGAGAATGCCTATGGCATTAAGTCCGCCGTTTGCTTATGTTTGGCAATAAAGTTTAAATACATAAGGTTCCAGCCCCCCCAGCATGAGCACCGCGATATGATATAGCACGCTCAATTGTCAAATTACTATGGAGCTTGACAGTTAGATTCGATGAAAAACGTGTTATAATGTAAATTGTGGTGTTCATGCTACGGGGACAGGCCTCCTAGGGTACGGTGATTGTATCGTACACAACGGCGCGAATGAAATTTTCGGTATCGCAAACGTCTATACGCCACACACTTGTGTGTCACCTTTTTTTCATCAAAAGAAATAATTATATAAAATCACTAGCGCCCGCCCGATTTCGTCTGCGTTAGCGTTTTAAGTTTTTCGAAAATCCCTCAGGAACTTAACCAATCACTACACTACACAACGGAACCACAGAACTGAATGAATGAAATGAATCATCATAGGCCCCCATTTTCGCTGACAGTGCGACATACCCGTGATACCCCGAGGTTTAGGGCCACGAGGACGTATGAGGGCTCAAAAGACGCGGAATTTAAAGGACTAAGAAGATTTATAAATTTTTTTGGGAAATATCTAAAACTTTTTTGGAAATCGATAACGACTTCTCTCACTTACACTTAAGAATTCGGTGAAATGGTGTAATTTGTGGCGCCTCGTATAAAAAAATATATAATGAATCTTTACGTTTGTTACAGAAAAGCAATGGATTCCTTCTTCAGTTTGTTCGATCCTTCTGAAGGGAAGCAGAGCTCGAAGAAAAAACAGCGGCCGGAGACAGAAGCAGTCAAGAAGAAAACAGAAGGACCTAAAGGTTAACAGCATTGAAAATATTTTTTTAAGCATTTGACTGCTAGATATATAATTATATTTAAGGAATTTTTTGCTAAATGTTTTTCTGATAAAATTTTCATCAGATTTAAATCCAATGCTAAAATGACCGACAAGAACCAATGATAGTTTTTTTTTCAATGATCAATGAAAATAATGGCGCAATTACATTTGGTCGCTAGCCCGTATTCGGGTGCACGAGAGACTAGTCGATTTGGGGCACCCTATTTCCACTGGAATACCGGCTGGAAGGCGGTGTCGGGTAAACAAAAGGAAATCTAGCTGAATACGGGCGTACTCGACTTCGTTCATTTATACTTATCTCCGTTCGTTTACCCGAATTCCATTGGCACTCGTATTCGGGCTTACGACCAAGTCTAATCGCGCCATAAGAGTAGGTAACCGATCACTAAATTTGGTAACAAGGAGCGTCTATAGCTATTAAAAATTTAGATCTGATCAACATGCATCGGGCAGAAAGCTCGTCTACTACGCGGGCGACCCGGGTTCGAATCCCAGTCGAGGAAGGTCTTTTTTTAACATAAATGTTTTTAAAAGTTTCACTCGCATCGTGTTTTCATATAACCATAAAAAAATCTCTTTTCTTTCTCTAATAGGCAGGAGGAGGGGTAGACGCGCCCATGGTAAAAACGAAACGCTACCGGAGCAATCGTCATTCTTGTGCGAGCCGGAGCTGAGTACAGACGTGCTGGTTAAGGACGGCAGCTATATTGAGAGCTTTATTGCGCTCAACAAAGACGAAGGTCAGTTAGCAATAATAAAATAACTGACGGAAACCAAAATAAGCATAGAATTTTAAGTTAATGTAATTTGGTTACAGAATATTTTTTTTTAATTTTCATATATCTTTCAAATATTATTTTACAAATGATATGAAAAAGGAACTACGCTAGAAAGTGGTTCCATGCAAAGTGCGATCAAGTGGGCTGGCGAAAAAACTGCATTTCATGACGCAGATAAGGGGATTGGTTGGGATCTCCGTTTAACAATATCTTACCCAATTAATGGGTAGCCGAATTGATTTGCAGATATTTGATTTGTCAAAGTATTTTGTTTTGTCTGTGTGCGTGTCGCGTTAGTATTGAAGTTTAGTTGTTTGAATTCGGAGCCATGTTTTAGCGCCCTATGTTAAAGAGTAATACTTACAGTAGAACGCCGATTATCCGAATTTAGTTGTAGGGATGAAACGATACCATCTAGGTATCGATACTTTTACTCGATACTGTATCGGTCATAAATTATCGATGCCTACTCGCTATCGAATGAAAAGTATCGATACGTACTTGTATCGATAATTTTTAACGAACGATGTTAAAATTACAAATTCAGTCACCGTTTTAATTTAACGAAAACAAAATATCGGCCCACGCCACGCGATGAACGAATGACTGACTGACTGAATAAATTGGAATAAATATAAATCATTCGCAAGGCTGCCAACTGAGCAGTTGAAATGATGCGTTCGCGAAATAAAATTCCAACAAGACACCTTACCATAGAGTAAATAATATGTCTATGAGTTTTTTTGATACTTCTCAGTGAGTGAACGACCGAGTATTGATACAAGTACATACTTCACGATACTACTTGTTACTCAGTTCTAAAGTATCGATGCCAAAAGTACTTACTTGGTATCGAATGAAAAGTATCGAGTAGTTACTTGTACTTACTCGTATCGTTTCATCCCTAATTAATTGGGACCGGGGTCGATTCGGATAATCGGACATAGACTGATAATAAAGAAAAATGAACTGTCACACATAGAATAAACCTTATAAGTTTAACAAACACAGTTCTACAATACTTAATACAATAACAGAGGTACATAGTAGCAAAAAAAAACCGCGCCACGCAAAACATGTAGTGTCTTCCCTCTAGCTTTCAACCGTAACTGTTGAAATATATGTGGACTCCAGCGAGTTCCGACTTGTTACAACAAAACCAAACAAGAATAACTTGTGATTTTATTTATTTTTTAAGCATTTAACTGCTAGATGTTTAAATCTAAAGAAAAGTTTACTAGAAAAAAATCCACGCGGACCAGGCAGCGGACGGGACTCGAACCCGCATCCTTCGCTATCCGGGCGAATGCACTGACCATTATGCTACCACGGCCCTATTAGCCAAGATATGAAAGAAGAAATAGCAATTATAGTTATGATTTTATTTATTTTTTAAGCATTTAAGGAGGCGTCCATAAATTACGTGAGGTGTTTTTTTGAATTTTCTGTCCCTCTCTCCCCCCCTGGTGAGATGTCGTGAGATTTTTTTCAACCCCCTCCCCCAACTCCCAATCTCACGTGAGATTTTCCAAAATGTGGATTTCTTACTTAAATGCGTTGGATTGTTATTGTTAAAAGAAAAAAAATGCTTCGTGCTTTTATTACGACTAGTTAAGACTAGTAATCAATATTGCTGAGAGTTATTTCTTTCGAACGAAATAGTGAATGATCTTAATCGTATTACGATTACGCTTAGGATTACATTTTAAGCATGTACAATCTGGATTAAATGGACCAAAATAGTATATTTCTTTTTGTTTCAATCAGAAAAAAAATTGCGTGATATTTGGCTCGACCCCCTCCCCCCCTTAAACATCTCACGTAATTTATGGACGCCCCCTAACTGCTAGATGTTTAAATCTAAAGAAAAGTTTACTAGAAAAAAATCCACGCGGACCAGCGGAGGTTTGCGTCCCGTCCGCTGCCAAGAATAACTTGGTTTTAATTTTTGATATGTAACATCTTTCCTCTCGCTTTCGTGCAATTTGTGGGAGTGACTTCGTGAAACGGGACGGAAAAGTGTGTAACAGGAAGTCGCGAAAGCGCGCGCTATTTGATTTGATTTTAGAACATAATGTTCAAATGGCTTTTTCGTTTTGTACTAGGTTTTATTTCTTTTTTACTAATATAAGGTGAGGTTTCAAATTACGCTTAGGACTGATTCGGACAATCGGCGTTCGGATAATAATCGGCGTACAGTAGACTGTATATCATTTCTAATTCGTGGATTCTTATCTATATAATATGCTTTTAGATGCTAAAAATGACGACAAAAAGCCAAAAAGGCGTAACTCAGGCCGCAAAGGGCGTCGGAAAAAAAACAAAATCTCCCCACTGAAAGAAACTACGGGTTGCGCCTGGTCAGAACCCGAAGCTACCAGTTGGAACAACCAAACTGAAGTTAGGAGCGATCCGAAGAACACCAGTGACGTTGGCAAGAATGTGAATGACCTTAAAGAGAACTACAAGAACAACCACAGGTAAGTTAAGAAATTAGTATTATTTATCTATTTAACAAAATATAAATGCCCAGTACCCTTAGTAGGATTTTTACAATTACGAAAACTATGATAGTTTTCGTGAGCCCGCACTCGCACTAAGGGTACAGATTTTATTTTTTTCGTTTCAATACAAATAAACAGTGTTTAAATTCTATAATTAAATCATTTGCATCTAATTAAATTTTAAGTATATTTGGTTACTTTTCACCAAAATGTACATAGAAACATAATTTGCAATTACGACAACTACATATGATAGTTTTCGTGAGCTCAAACTCGTACTAAGGCTACTACACACCGACAAACACAACACCACTAAAAGGTAGTGTTATTTCAATGTTATCTTCTGTAAGGTGGAGGGGAGGTTACTTCCCCCAGACGGGCTCTCCAATTCGAGCGGGAAAATCGCTATGCCTGCCTCTCTTTTACTTTAATAAAAACTACAATTTGTTAACACCAAACCTCTCTGGCCGAGTGGTTTGTACGCCGGGTTTCATGGTGTCGCCAACTCAAGAGGTGTATATAGATCATATACGAAGGCGTTATTAGCAGACAAGCGATGTTAAAGCCTAGAAATTTATTAAAAATGACTCAATATTTGTTGTATATATAAAAAAAATTGGTTGAAAATAGTTTTTTCTATTACATTGGTAAATAATTATTGGTGTCGATTCTAACAAAACTCCCTAACCCTAAACTTTAATTAATTAATTTTGACAATAGCGTTTGCTTGTCATTCTTTATATAGAATGAAAAGGAGAGACTGAAGTTAATTCGACGATCTCCGTGGTCGAGTGGTTTGTACGCCGGGTTTCATGGTGTCACACACTCTAGAGATCCCGGGTTCGAATCTTGGTGGGGGCATATGTTTGTGTGGCGAATACGAGCATTTGTACTCCAGTCATTGATGTTTAATATGTATTTCTATATAAATAAACTTGTATATGTACAATATATGTATTCTATTCGATACCCTAGTATCCCATAACACAAGCCTTACAGTGCTTACTTTGGGTCTAGGCTTATTGGTGTGAGTGTTGGTGATATTTATTTATTTATCTCTTCCAGGAAAGACAGCGATGATTTCCAAGATTTCGACGAATCCGTGTACAATGTAATAGACAAGTTAGAGAAGGTCGGTCTAAAGGACGATATGTACTTAGCCGGGGACTTCAATACTGACGAGTTGGAAAACGATTTCTTCAGCTCTGAAGAGATGGAAGATTCTTTTGATGACACGTGAGTAAACTGCTAAGTGTGTAAATTTTTGTTTTTTTTTAATATAACGTTTGTCATACACTTAGGGATGCAGTTTTTAAAATTATCGATATAATATCGAATTATGCCGATACCGGACACTTAGGGATGAAAAATTTTTAAAATTATCGATATATATTAAATGAAGTCGTTATCGAAATATCGGTCTACCACGACAATGTATATCGATATTTCTCCTTTTTTAAATGCATCTTAAAATTAATGTAGTTTTATAGCCCCTCTACACGATGGGCTATGATGCTGACTATTTGCTGTTACATTACTATGGTTTACCATTGTTTTTGGAAATTCGGAATTTTCCTTGTGGATTACCTACAATGCGAAGAGATGGCGCTGCCTTGCAGCCTCAGGTTAGAGAAAATTCGACACGGCCGTCAGGGCCGCGGTAGCATAATGGTCACTGCATTCGCCCGGATAGCGAAGGGTGCGAGTTCGAGTCCCGGCTGCTGCCTGGTCCGCATGGAATTTTTTCTAGTAAACTTTTTTTTAGATTTAAAGTTTTATGTTGTTTTTCGGAGTTTGTCGGAGTCCATTGAAAACTTTACCATAATTTCAGTGCTTCCGAGCCTGATGACTCGAGCGAAGAAGTGTATGGCAGTCTACCACCAGAGCCCAGGTTCGGCAATGTGGAATATAAACTTCAGCTGGTTTCACCATGCGAGAGGAGATTTCAACACCTAGTCACACAGGTTGGTGATAAATTTTGGAATTTTGCATGCTAAATAATATTTATAAATATTTAGTCTGCACTGAGTCAATTACATGTAGGTTTATTTTCATTACATTTCCATTCTTTAAATTAGCCAAATATTTTTTTTCATCTAGAATATAAAAAATCAGCTCTGTGACAATAGGGAAGATGCAATATTTTTATTTTTGTTTTCATTTTAAAGAATTCCATGTAGAATAAAACACAGATATATTAAAAAATTAAAACATTGTGATTTATCGGAAAAAATGCGGTTTTAAATTGACAATTTAAATTTTCGCGCGAAAACGAACCCATGGGGGCGATGACGTCACTCCTGTCTGTCACTGGTCGTAATTGTTCGTTGCTGGCTTTAAATTTTCATACTTTTGTATATTTTTTCGACTTTCGAAATATTTTTTTGAAAAATTTAAAATGGACTATCCATCAACATCATGTGATCATAACAATACCACTAATATTCCGAAAAAAAGCCGTGTTGACTCATGTTTTGTGCTAATCTACATCAACAAAGTTCCCAAATAAATTGTTTTTGACTGGAACTTCTGACCCAAAACTGAAAAAAAGTGGTTTCAAGCTGCGAAGAGAAATGACAATTATTCTCCAAAGACCATTATTCGATGCTGAGAAGATCACTTTGACGTAAGTCGGCGAATATACTTGTTATATGCTTAATTAATCTGCTTGTACGTAACCTACCTAATACTTACAAAACCTGTCTATAACATATTTTTAATTTTACAGTTGGAGAATGACGACGAAAATTAGATAAAGTTTAAAATGTGTGGCACAATCTTCACATTGGCAGGACTGAACCAAGCTTTGCGTTTCATTTAAAATAACTGTAACACGATAACCTTCTTTACGTACTTTATGCTCCGGAGAACTCGACCTTTGTACATAATTTTCCATCTCTTTTAATTTGGACATAGCCGATTGCATTATCACCGAAAGATTTGTAGAAGCCGCTGAATAAAATACGAAGTTTAACAACTACGATTTTTACATACCGTAGTAATTTAGTCCCTTTCATTTCTACACTTAAAAACTCTGCACTTTGGACAAAAAAAGTTATAACCATGTCAACGCTAACTCTTGGTAAAAAAATTATATTTACTTTAACAACCATAAACCTCAAAGAAGTTGTCATAACAGGAGTGACGTCACTAAACGCTGATTGGTGTTTTAAAATACGTTCCGTTTCAAGTATTTTTAATTCGTAATAATTGTTAAAAAACAACATTATGTAAAATAAAAACGTTGCAGTGGCATTTCTTTTATATTTTTTTAACATTTTAATCATAAAATTTTCATAAATATTATAAAGTTGATTTTCATTTCAATTACTTTAAAGTATTAAAGTGTTTTTTTTTTCTTGTTTATTAGTTGAAATGGCGACTCCGCTCTGGCGGGGGAAGTGCAGTATACGTTCTAGGGGTAAGGGACTGCGGAGCCCTCCGGGGATTGAGAGCGAAGGCACTTAGGGCTTCGCTGCACTCTCTGAGGTAACGATTATAGGCTCGTTTATTTAAATTTTCATATAGGTACTTGTGATCTTACATAAAATCCAGAACGCAACAAGTGACATGATTATTAAAAAATATTACAAACCAAATTCATATTTCTTAAAGGAAACATAACACAACACTAAAATTCTATACATTCATTAAAAATATAATTAAGTAAAAAACTGGGTTGAATTGGCCACAAAGTAAATTCGTCACGTTTTTGTTTATTACATACATTGATAGTTAATTCGTCACATTTTAGTTTACTTCGTACATTGAAAGTTAATTCGTCCCATTTAGTTTACTTCATACATTGAAAGTTAATTCGTCACATTTAAGTTTACTTCATACATTGAAAGTTAATTCGTCACATTTGAGTTTACTTCATAAATTGAAAGTTAATTCGTCACATTTTTGTTTTTTCATACATTTAAAGTTAATTCGTCACATTTTTATTTACTTCATACATTAAAAGTTAATTTGTCATTTTTTTATTTACTTCATACATTAAAAGTTAATTCGTCACATTTTAGTTTACTTCATACATTGAAAGTTAATTCGTCACATTTTAGTTTACTTCATACATTGAAAGTTAATTCGTCACATTTTAGTTTACTTCATACATTGAAAGTAATTCGTCGCATTCTATTTACTTCATAAAAATAGTACTGTGGCAAATTTACACATAATTCTTCCTGACAAATGTACTTTGTGACGCATGTACACCAACCTAAACATAATTGACGAGCTGTCGAACAAAACGGTATAATTACGCATATGGTTTTGACCATATAATACGTTATTTTTACAGCCCGGAGGTCTTGGGCCAGTTGAATTTGAATTTCAACTCATGTTTTGCAAAACCGCCTAAAATAGTGTTAAAATCACATAATTAAAAATCACACCAGAAGCTCGCTGTAGGTATGTCATTCAGTTTTTTCTGCTCCTGTAAATTTTAATTTGATTTAATTATATCGTTTTGTTCGCCAGCTCCTCAATAGGGTATTTGACAGTATTTTAAAATAAAGTGGCAAAAACATCTGTATTTAGAACGAATATTGGTAGGAGTTTTTACTATTTTGACAGAAAAATTATTCATAATTTTACTAAAAACCCACGATAAAGATAATAGTTTGCTTGTCTATTGTCACGTAACCCAAAACGCTTGGGATTGGTGGAGGTTAAAATGACTTCACACGCAAGTAAACTTCCGGTTAAAGTGACATTTGATTGTATGGTTTGACGTTTTAATGACAGTTGTGTGACGTCACACACCAGTGAGACGCCATATTGTCCAGGGATACGTTTTTCACGGCAACTTGAAAACGGAGTTTTTGTTTTCGAAATACACAACATAATGATGAATATCCACATTTTATGGACTCTATAAACATTACTAAATATCATGTCATATAGTATGTCAATTTTTTTTTAATTTAGATTTTATTCCAAATGTTCAGGAGAATGGCCAGAGCGTTATCGGCAACATTGACTCATATAACAGCGCGAAGGGTAGCTCCACACAGAGCAGTCGCCGAAGTATATATAAGAAAGGTAATTTATTGTATAATAAGTATTCTATCTTTAGTAAGTCGATTCTGGCATTGTTCTCTTAACTTAAACTAAATTTATAAATAAATAAAATATAAATATTTCCATCACTCACACCTAGCCAATTAGCTTTTTTTTTTTTTTTTTTTGTGACGAGGGGAAATGCAGTTACGCACCATACCGTGACGCTGACTAGGCGCACGGCGTGTGTGGGACTCGCCGGCACGGGAAACAGTGCCGACCCTACTCAAGCAGGACCAGTGCGGAAGGCCACACTGATCCTACTCCACTTAAACCCCCCGGTACCCTCCTACGCCCATATGGGGGCGTCTCAGGATCGACGCACCTTAGCGTGCGCCACTTCACTGGGTCGCCCCCGGGCAGGCCCGGCCCAACGAGTGGACCGGGCGACGCGCCTCAGGGGGACTGCGCTAGGGTACTAGGCAGTCCCCAGACGTGGTGGCCTATGCCGGAGCGGCACCTAGGACGCGCGGCTGGTCAGGCCGCGCCCAGACCACCTTAGGGCCGTCGAAGACCGGCAGTCACCGCTGCCTGCCTCCTTCGGCCCACCCGTCTACGCCGGAGAGGGGGGGCTAGAGCGTCCTCCTCCCGCTCCCTCTCCGCTGCCTCTTTCTGCGCCATCACAGATTCGCAGAAGGAGGCGGCCGCCCTCCAGGCTCTCTCGCTACCAAGCATGGCTCTTACCATACTTGGCAGCGTGAGGCCTCATTTCGCCAGGCCGGGCACACGATCAACGTGTGCTCAACCTAGCCAATTAGCCTAGCCTCAATGTAAGCACTGTAGGCTTTTGTTACGGGATACTAGGATAACGGATAGAACACATATACCGATACATATATAAGTATATTTATATAGAAATACATATTAAACATCCATGACTGGAGTACAAATGCTCGTATTCATCACACAAACATCTACCTCCACCGGGATTCGAACCCGGGATCTCTAGAGTTGGTGACACCATGAAACCCGGCGTACAATCCACTCGACCACGGAGGTCGTCGAATTTAACTTCAGTCTCTCCTTTTCATTCTATATAAAGGATGACAAGGATACACTATAGTTAAAATTAAATAAAGTTTAGGGTTAGGGAGTTACGTTAGAATCGACACCAATAATTATTTACCAATGTAATAGAAAAAAGATTTTCAACGAATTTTTTTATATGAATACAAATATTGAATAATTAAAAAAAAAAATTAGGCTTTAACTCGAGGAGGAGCTCGATTGTGCAGGTGTTTAGCGCGATCTGCTGCGATCGTTGAAGCTAAGCAACTTTCGCAGTGGTCAGTCATTGGATGGATGACCAAAAATCTTTTATGACGAGCTCCTCCGTGCTTCGGAAGGCACGTCAAGCCGTTGGTCCCGGCTACATCTGCAGTCGTTAGCACCCGCCAATCCGCACTGGGCCCGCGTGGTGGGTCATGGCCCAATCTCCCTATTCCATCCGTAGGGAAGGCCTGTGCCCAGCAGTAGGGACTTTAATAGGCTGATGATGATGAATCATGATAATATGTCACAATAAAAATAACATGTTATAGTATTTCATTTTTATTTCAGCTTATTTGAATAAAGATATCTGCTTCAAAATTGCGTTGCAAGATTCCACCCAAACAAACATACATACATACACAGTGCAAGTTAAATATAGCTTTTAAAATAAAGCAAAGCTGAATTTTAGAATTATTTGACGATATTTAGAACCTAGTGTGTTCAGACAATTCTGATTATATTTTTGAAGAAAAATTATTATTAGATTATATAATTATATATAATCATCATGAATATACAAGTATAATTTATATTTTTACAGCTAGCGGACACCCATCAAAGTGTTGAATTGCGAGTGGCGGTAATGGGGGCGAACGAAGCTGGCAAATCTACCCTTATTGGAGTTCTTACGCAAGGTAAGGGAGTATTTAAATTTAATATATCTGTATATAATAATACAGGGAGAAAAAAACAGCCCTTGCTGAGTTTCTTGCCGGTTCTTTTCAGTACAAGGTCTCCCGGCGTAGTTATACTGAATAAATGACTTTTCATTTCATTTTACTTTTTTTTTCATTTCATTTTCATTTCATAATATATAATTATATAAATTACGCGTCACGTTGTTTGTCCGGGATGAACTCCTAAACTACATAACCGATTTTAATCAAATTTGCACACCGTGCGCAGTTTGATCCAACCTGAAAGGTAGAATAGCTTACATCTCAATTTATAGTCGCAATATTATTTTATTGCAAATTATTACTTTTGGGCGGTACGAAGTTCGCCGAGTATTTGTTGTATTTTTTTTTATTTTGTTCTCATTATAAATTCTCTTTAAAAGAAAACTTAGTTTTTAGTTCTCTTTTTAAAAAGTTCTAATTTTAGAAGATAGCACTCTGTTTTACTATAGCCGCGTTCGTGCATTTCTTAACGCCTAAAGATTGCCTAGCAGAGAATGCTTTTAGCGTTAAGGCCGCCTTTTGTCATTTTTGAAGTGAAAACTTCTTTAGCACCGTTGTGATTTGTGACGGAAGTTAAGTATTTGGCACAAGATAGGTCTCCGTAATTTTGTCATTTACAAGAATAGACGGGGACTGGTCTGGAAGGCTGATGATGATGATGATGACATACGTCTTTATCCCAAAAGGGGGTTTATTTCTAAAGATACATTACTATAGAGCATGCATGTTAAATTTCAAGTCTCTTCAAAAACATAGGACTTTCATACAAACTTTCCACTCCCGTATTACCCACTTAGTTTCGTGAAATTATGTAGCCTATATGTTGACCCGATTTCTTAATAATATTCGTGCCAAATTTGAAGTAAATCCATGCAGTATTTTTTGAGTTTATCTCGGACATACAGACAAACAGACAAAATTTCTAAAAACTATATTTTTGGCTTCGGTATCGATTGTAGATCACCCCAAGTATTTTAAAAAAAATATTCGTTGATTTTATTATGTCTATAGATTGTGGTTTTTTTCTTTTTTAAGCTATTATTGATTTTTCGAAACAATTTGAGTAAAGAGTATTTTTTTTTTCAATTTGCCCAGTATTTAACAGTACCTGAAAAGTTTAGTATTAAACGTTTGGTTGGTGCCAAGTTATTTATTAATACAGGCTTGGTTTTTATCAACAATCCTTACCTTTCCAATGTTTGCAATTTTTTTACAGTATTTTTTTATAAATAAATATTTCGAAAAAAACCTAGGTAAGATAAGAAAAACAACAAAAGAAATAAAATAAAAATAGCTTGGAACAAATAAAACTTTAATGAAATCACATTTTTGTAGGTTTTTAATTGTAACACAAATAAAACTATGATCTTTTCACATCACTGACACGAGTAAATCTTGCGAAACATGTGGATATATCACACTAAGACTATTTAGTCTTGAGAAAAGAGTGTTTTCCACAAAATTGGGGTATTTCAATTAAAACGGCCATGACGTCACCATTTTTTGCGAGGCGCGCATTTCATAGAGCATTTTTATTCACAACGCCATCTACATATTTTGCTTAAACTAAAGAGACCAAGGGCAGCGATAAGGATGCTTTCTAAAGCGTGCTAATGAGCAAAAAACATAACTGCCCACAGGGAACACTCAAGCTCAAGTGTCCTCGGACTGGAAAAACATTTATGACACTCGAGTGTCATGGGACGTTTGGGAGGGTACAAAGCTTGAGAAAAGGCATCACAACAACCGTGGTGTTTTGTATACGTGTCGCGTACACGTATACGTTATACGTTTTTAGAGTTTTTTCATCATTTTAATATCTATCTATTATTTATATAAAACAGGGGAACTCGATAACGGCAGAGGCAGTGCTCGTTTGAACATGTTCCGGCATTTGCACGAAGTTAAGAGTGGTCGCACCTCGTCGCTGAGCCACGAGATATTGGGGTTCGATGCTCAGGTGAGTCATTAGCGTAATTTTGATGAAATGAACAAAAATTTTTTCTAGTAAAAATACTCTCTATATATGTAAATAAAGCTTATTAATGCTTAAAATAATAATTTAACGAAATGTCATTAAATTATACTTTATTCGAAATGGGGCCGTTCAAGTATTACGTAAGCAGAGTTATTACAATTTAAATAATTTCCTTCCCCTCCTTCCCTTGTCAGCAAAAGTAAGCAAAGCTCTTACCCCTCCCCCTCATGCTTATGTAAACATTGGTACCTATATGCATTTTTCCTTTAATGTATTCTGTTTTTTTTATTGATTCATAAGTTTCCATGAGCTTCATGAGCAGCAGTACTTAAATAGGCTTAGTCCATGATGCTGACGTAATCACCATCTCGACCCCCCACCCCCCCATGTCATCGAAAATAAGCAAAGCAAAGACCCCCCTGTCCCCCTATAGTGCTTACGTAATACTTGAACAGCCCCAATGGCTTATTGAAAAATTTATAAAATCGTCCAATACTTTAAGCCCCTTATTAATAATCGAGGAACAAGCCTGAGACTAGTTAAACCGTATTCTGTTCATTTATGTTCTCTGGTGTCGTACACTCGAGAGCAATGAATCCGTATCAATTAAAGAATCTTAAAAATCTCGCAAACTAAGCAAGCTAGCTCAATGAAAGAAATTTTAATTTATACACAAGTAAATACTCCTTAAATGAAGATATTAAAACTTCTTAGTAATTGTAAAGTTATATCATAAAAAATCAAATTTTAAAAGGGATAGATACTTTTCAAGATGGAACTACGAAATTGTTGCATTTGTTTTTGCTTTTGTTTCTAATCTGTCATTTATCATTCATCTAAACCATGTCGATAGTTTTCAATGTTAATTATTCGAGCTGTAATCATGTCGCTTACACCTGAAGATTTTTAGGATTCTTTATGGATGACCCGGATTCATTGTTCTCGAGTATACATAAATTTTTCATCATCATCATCAGCCTGTTAATGTCCCCACTGCTGGGGCACAGGCCTTCCCTATGGATGGAATAAGGTGACTACGCGGGCCCAGTGTGGATTGGCGGGTGCTAACGACTGCAGATGCAGCTGGGACCAACGGCTTAACGTGCCTTCCGAAGTACGGAGGAGCTCGAGATAGTAAATTTTTGGTCACCCATCCAGTGGCCGACCACTGCGAAAGTTACTTAACTTCAACGATCGCAGCCGAACGCGCTAACCACTTGCGCCATTGAGCTCCTCATAACTTTTTATCTATTTGTAAATCATCTAAAAACTAAAATTTTCCTTCTTTCTAATACGCCAGGGTAACGTTGTAAACTACGGTTGTTCCGAACTAATGACGGCGGAACGCATAGGAGAACGAAGCGCTAAACTGGTGTCGTTCTTGGACCTGGCGGGACACGCCAAGTATCAGCGCACCACACTTCATGGACTGTGCGGATACTGTCCTCATCATGCTATGCTTGTGGTGAGTACGAAACTGTAGGAAACACACTAAGGCCCGTATTACGCAATGACAAATAATTGTTGATCTTTACTTGAGTAGCGTCAGAAAGAGATGCCGGTATGTGCTATATATAGTGATATCTATTTCTGACTATGCTCATTAATGAGAATCTTTCTATAATACGGGCCTTATTTTGTCAAAAAACCAACGATATTAAATACCCTAGATACACCACGTGCGCTCAAAATGTGTCCCAATCAAGAAGTTCTTGAACGCCACTCAAGCACTTGCACTTCTTGGTTCACAGTCACGCGCGGACCGTTGAAAAGTCAAGTTGCCGCGGAGCTCCGTGAAAAAATGCGAAAAAAATATTTATAGTATGTGAAGTGTCGTTTTTTCGACAGGTATCTAATCAATGTTAGTTAATTTAACACATTTGAAGCAAATTTTGTTCTAATACTTACTATAAACTGATTTAATAGAAATATTTGTGTTATTCAAATGCATGGTCGGTTATACAGCCATCTCTTTTCCTTGCGGTCCGTACCTGCTGTATTGCTAACAGCGCATTCAAAATTGCGCGTATAGTTAAAGAAATAAGGTCTATATTGCTCCGCCTACAGCAATAAGTCTTAAGATTTTACGAGCTTGCATTTTGAACTGCCACAACTCTTTAACGCATACGTTTTAATTAAGACCTTATACAGTAGGCAGTGGTGACTTTCCATGTTAAAATAATGATTTATATTGTTTTTGACAACGCGATCATCTTACGGAGCTCCGTGGATCGTCCAATGTACCCTTTGGACAGGTTTCGGGCACGATTTTGTTGGTGTTGGTAGGGTATTTAATATCGTTACAAAAAACTTATTAAAATCTCGCAAATCACAATTGCACACTTCGAAATATAGAAAATTATATAAATAAACTGAGCAAAAATAGTCAAAATTACACTTCAAAAAATAAATAATAGAAATCACAAAATTTACACTTACAGACTCTTTACTAAGGATACAGAAAGTAAAATACTCTTAAAAAACTAATATGGAATGGCACATTTCCATTTCACATAAACACACTCTAATTCACACTTACTTACACTCTATTTAAAGTTAAGAGCTGGCGAACAAAACGGTATAATTACATAAAATTAAATTTTACAGGAGCTGTATGAAACTAAATGATATACGAACAGTGAGCTTTTGGCATGGTTTTTAAATTTTAACTTTGTATTAGGCGGTTTTGATTGAAAATTATTTGAGATTCAAATTCAACAGGCCTGAAACCTCCGGACTGTAAAAAAAAAGTAAAGTTTTGTTCGACAGCTCCTCAAGTATATGGACCTTTATCACTCTTAATAATCACATGAAACATTCAATGAGAATTTCTCTACACCAGATATCAGCCACGGCTGGAGTTACTCGTATAACGGAAGAGCATCTCTCCCTACTCGTGGCTTTGGATCTGGATTTCTTCGTTGTCATCACTAAATGTGATATAGCGGGAGCTTCGTTAAAACAACTGTTGCAACAGCTAGCTGATATACTGGCGCAGACTAATAAGGTGAGAACTTGTTTATAAGTAGACTATTAAAATCTAGCTGTTTAATTCTTAAGAGCCCTTTCACATTTTTGTAAAAATACGTAATTTTTGAGCGCCTCGTTTTCCGCAATTTTGTAAAATGGCTCTTAAGTAATAAACTTAAAATATGTACTCGTAAATTACGCGTCACTTTGTTTATCCGGGATGGACTCCTAAACTACATAATCGATTTGAATCAACTTTGCACACCTTGTGTAGTTTGATCCAACTTGAAAGATACGATAGACGAATGGTTAGTGCATTCGCCCGGATAGCGAAGGGTGCGGGTTCGAGTCCCGTCTGCTGTATGGTCCGCATGGAATTTTTCCTTGTAAAAATTTCATTAGATTTAAACATCTAGCAGTTACATGCTGAAAACATATAACAAATTTATACTTACCTAGTTTTGTGTTTCCCACAGAAACCTCTATTGATTACGGATGAGAATCTAGCAAGGAACTGCGTAGCACCGCAAAAACTAATCATAGACACCATAGACAACGGACTGGACGAGAAACCGCAGCGGAAGGAAGAAGAGTGAGTACACAATCTATTTAGAAAGATGATACTTGTTTTGTGTATGGTCTGTGTTATTTGTGGTGCTTAGAAGTATCTGGTCTATGACGCGGTTTCTATTTTAATAATAATAATAACAATGTGTAGAAGCATTAGGTAAGCGCCGAGTCATCTGTGCGTGTAGTAGGTACCTACACAGGCGGCCTCTAGCTGCATTAATTACTTTTCCGTTTTTTTAAGGAGTGCTTATTTTTAGTTGCTTTTCACTATCTGTGTAGACGTGTTTAAAATAAATAATGACTCATAAGGAGGAAATGACATAAAAAAATAACCAAATCAAAAATTTTAAAACGAAGAAAATAATTTTAAAAGTTCCTAAAAAAACAGGCATACTCTATACACGTAACCCAACAACCTCACGAAGTTTCATTAAAATATTCAATTTCACCTTATATATACTCTATCCGAGGAGCTCGATGGCGCAAGTGGTTAGCGCGTTCCGCTGCGATCGTTGAATTTAAGCAACTTTCGCAGTGATCGGTCATTGGATGGGTGACCGAAAATTTACTATCTCGAGCTCCTCCATGCTTTGGAAGGCACGTTAAGCCGTTGGTCCCGGCTGCATCTGCAGTCGTTAGCACCCACCAACCCGCACTGGGCCCGCGTGGTGGGTCATGGCCCAATTTCCCTATTCCATTCATAGGGAAGGCCTGTGCCCCAGCAGTGGGGACATTAATAGGCTGTTGAATCATGATTCTCTATCCGTTACCCTTGTAATCTATAACACAAGCCTACAGCGCTTCGCGTGGGTTTTCTTTTCTTGCAAAATTTTCTTTAGATTTATTTATGAAACTGTGTTGGAGTAGATACGTATTTTTGACGTGATAACGTCTTATAAATCGATGAACACCGTCTGCACGCACGAAAAAGTGTCACGTTCCGCCTGAGCCTGAGCAAGCGAGAGCGCGGAACAAGCGATAGAGAGGCACGATCGGCCCAAGCGTCGGCTTGTACACTCGCGGAAAGGCCCGCTCTGTCAATCATAATGCCATAATCGCTTGCGGTAGCGGCGTAGTAAAAATTCATTCATAGACATGTAATTATCGCTGTCTTACTTTTTCGTATAGCGCTGTCGCGATCACGATGCGGATGACAAATTGCAACTAAAACAAATGCAATTCAATTCATTTATTCAATCAATGAAATGCTCTCTGTTTTACTTTTGTGCGGCGGCCCGGATTGGCGCGTCCGACGCGAAGGCGGGGCGTAGTAAAAACTACTGTAGAAAACCGTTCAAAGCATTTTGTTCGCCAAGTGACAGAGCGCAAAATTCCGCGATAGTACACATTTATCTCTCTTCTCGCGGGACGTCAGAGCTACCAATTATGCAATTTTTTTTCAATGTTTCTTTATGCCGTTATCACGTAAAACTATCGTCCGTAAACCAACTTTACAGACAACCATTATTTTTTTAGTTACGTTTTTATTTTTTAAGCATTTTACTGCTAGATGTTTAAATCTATCTCCGTTAGCTGCCTGGTCCGCGTGATTTTTTTTCTACTAAACTTGTTTTTAGATTTAAACATTTTTTTTTTATTTCTATCTCCGATAGCGTCGGGCTATCTCCCGTGCCCGTGTTCCCAGTTAGCTGCGTTAAAGGCGTAGGATTGAATGCCTTACATGCATATCTACTAGCTCTACAACCTCCAGCGCCGAAACAACATGACAACGTGAGTTTTCAATTCAATTTATTTGCATTATGGGGTGGTTTATACGCCGGGTTATATGGTGTCGCCGACTCGAGAGGTCCCGGGTTCGAATCTCGGTGGGGGCAGATGTTTGTGTCCGAATACTAGTGCCAATGGTAATAGGGTAAACGACTAATTGTAAATCTTACTGGCCCTACAATCCCCAGCGCCGAAACAACACGACAACGTGAGTTTAATTCAATTGATTTGCATTATTCGATGACCTCCGTGGCCGGGTGGTTTATACGCCGGGTTATATGGTGTCGCCGACTCGAGAGGTCTCGGGTTCGAATCCCGGTGGGGGCAGATGTTTGTGTGATGAATACGAGAATCTGTACTCCAGTCATGGATGTTTGATATGCTTATATATTTATCAGTATATGTATTCAATCCTTTAACAAAGTATCCCATAACACAAGCTTTACAGTGCTTACTTTGGGGCTAGGTTAATTGGTTGTGAGGGTTGGAAATATTTATTTATTTATTATTTCTTAGGATACATGTGAGTTTCAAATTGACGAAATATTCCACGTCGGCGACTCGAGCGGCCCCGTAGTAGGGGGTTTAATGGCTCGCGGACAACTGTTCGAGGGAGACAACCTCATCATAGGTAAATGAGATGGAACATTAATACTATTCAATTCAAATTGATTCTATTCCTTCCCCATATAAATGTAATGATGAAAGAAAGAATTCTCCTTCCTACTTATATTACAAATGTGAGTTTGTATGTTTGTTACCCAATCACACAAAAACTTCTGTATGTATTTGGATGAAATATGGTACGCATATAGTTTATGACCGGGATTGTGATGTAGGATACTTTTTTCCCGGTAAAATGTTACGTCTCTGTGGGATTTTCAAAAAAGGAAAGTCAGTGAAAACAATTGAGATCATATCATATCCAATCAATGGCTCTGACAAGCTATTATGAATGTTACTACACCATAAAAACCAAATATATCCGACTTGCAGCAATGCAATATACATACGTACATATATGTACTTATTTCATGTTTTTCTCACTCAGGACCATTCGAAACGGGCGAATTCAAAGAGATATCAGTCCGCACTATATATAGAAATCGCGCTAGATTCGGTTGCGTTAGGGCAGGCCATTGCGCTAGCTTGGGTTTAGCCGCTGACCAACCAATGAGATTGAGACCCGGCATGGTTTTACTGACAAAACCTCATAAATACAATAGCGGTCCGAAACCAGTGTTCGGGGGATGCCCTAAAGGGAAATGCAAAATGCGGAACGAGGTAAGTTTTATATTATAACTAGCTGACCCAGCGAACTTCGTACCGCCATAAAAATAGGGGCAGGTGGTAAAAGAGAAAATTTAGGGTTGTATGTATTTTTTAATACCACATTATAAAAAATAAATAGTCCAAAAAAAAATTTTGGGGTGTGTAACGTAGTGTTCTATTAATTTCCTGGGATAACATTCCTCCTAACCCATATGAGAACACTACGTTTCAATACCCAATAGTTTGAATTTAGGCGCGAAGGCGCATTGGAGGTTTCATAAAACTACTTTATAGGTGGACAACCATTATCACTTAAGGATATGAAAAATAGATAGTGATTTTGACATGATTCTCTAAATCTAAACTTAAATTTGACAACAGTGTATCCTTGTCATTCTCGATACAAAATGAAAAGAGAGACTGATCTTAAATTTAGTTTTAAGTTTAGATAATCATGCTAGAATCGACACCAGTAGCCGATTCTCAGACCCACGGAATATGCATGTAAAATTTCATAAAAATCGGTCAAGCCGTTTCGGAGGAGTATGGTAACTAACATTGTGACACGAGAATTTTATTTATAAGATCATGTTTTTATTTATTATGTTTTCATGTACAACAATCTGTTTTTAAACGACTAAAAAATGGAAGAGGTTCTTAAGTCGACGCCTATATTTTTTTATGTATGACCACCAACGATATTAAATATCCTAATCAAGAAATGCTTTAACACGATTTTAGTACTTCTTGGTTCACAGTCACGCGCGGACCGTTGAAAAGTCAAGCTGCCGCAGAGCTCCGTGAAAAAATGCGAAATAAATACTTATAGTACGTAAAGTGTTTTTTTTTCGATAGGTATCTAATAAACGTTTGATAATTTAACGCATTGGATGCAAATTTTGTTCTAATACTTTATTAATTACTATAAACTGATGTAATAGAAAATATTTGTGATATTAAAATGCATGGTCGGTCATATAGCTGTCTCTTTTTCTCGCGGTCCGTACCTGCTATATATCTAACCGCGCATTCAGATTTGCTCGTAGAGTGGAAGAAATAAGGTCTATTTTCCTCCGCATATAGCAATAGGTCAAAAAATTTTCCGAGGTTGCATTTTGAACTGTCATAACTTTGTTTGGCGCATGAATTTTAATTAAAACCTTATACAGTATGCATTAAAAGTGACTTTCAATGTTTAAATAATGCCTTATATTGTTTTTGACTACGCGATCATCTTACGGAGCTCCGTGGATCGTCCAATGTACCTTTTGGACAGGTTTCGACCATGATTTTGTTCGTGATGTTGTATCTAGGCTATTTAAAATGATGACCACGTATAACTTTTTTCAGAGTAGTCCGATTTTGATAATTCTTTTTTTATTAGAAAGGCTATACCCCGAAGTTGATCTCATAATAATTTAGGAATAAAAATCCTATCCTGGGTGGGCAAATAGGGATAAATATTCATCCAATAGATTTTAAAGCCGAGTAATTGTAAATTACAAAAAATATAGTCACAAAAGAAAAAAAACAATTTTGAATAAATTTATAATATTTTTTTTAATCCCTAGTCAAATTAATATTTGGGAGTCGGTGGCATGCATGTCCGATAGATCTGAGTTCCCATTTACTTGAGTTGGCCAATCAATCCGCAGTGGGCCCGCGTGGTGGGTCATGTCATGTCACAATCTCCCTATTCCATTCGTAGGGAAGGCCTGTGCCCTAGCAGTGGGGACATTAATAGGCTGATGGTGAAGGATAAAATAAATCATTATTTTTTAATTTCCTGCGCTTTAATTTTTTGTTAAAAAGTTTAATGTCTATACTTATATAAACGTATAATCAGTCAACTCATAAGTGATACGTATATTGGAAATCGCGGCCGCTTATAATTAGCGGACCATGATTGTTTCTACATTATCAGCCTAATTATGTTATGAATACGAGCATTTGTTCTCCAGTCATGGATGTCTAATATGTATTTCTATATTATATGTATTCTATCCGTCACCCTAGTATCCCATAACACAAGCCTAACAGTGCTTTCTTTGGGGCTAGCATATTGATGTGAGTGTTGGAAATATTTATTTATTTATTTATGTCCCCACTGCTGGGGCACAGGCCTTCCCTAAGGGTTGAATAGGGAGATGGGCCATGACATGACCCACCACGCAGGCCCACTGCGGATTGGTGGGTGCTAACGACTGCAGATGCAGCTGCGACCAAGGCTTAAAGTGCCTTCTGAAGATCGATGGTATTTCTTCTTACAAATGTTTAATACGTCTTGTAAAGGTATTTCGTTTGATATTGTGCGTTACCTACAATGCGGAGAGATGGCGCTGCCTTGCAGCCAAAGAAATACTGAAAGAAATTCGATACGGCCATTAAGGTTTCGGTAGCATAATTGGTTAGTTCATCTGCCCGGATAGCTCAAACTGAGGGTTCGAATCCCGTCTGAAACCTGTAGCTAGTGGATTTTTATTAGTAAAAATAGGTCTTTATCTTATATATAAAATTCGCGTGTCACAATGTTAGTTACCATACTCGTCCATAACGGCGTGACGAATTTTTATGAAATTTTATATGCATATTCATTCAGTCGGTCTGAAAATCGGCTACTCTCTAGTTTTCATACCCTTAAGTGATAATGGTTGTCCAACCCTAACATTTTTCTTTGGACAATTATTTTTTTTCGATGTTGCAATTGAAATACATACAACCTTAACACCTTTTCACCTTTCTACCACCAGCCCCTATTTTTATGGCGGTACGAAGTACGCTGGGTCAGCTAGTTGTTCATATATACCTATATTTATAAGTACTTTTTATTTATTATATTATTTTTAGGTCACTGACATAGTACTAAACAGTATTCACTCCAAAGACAAGATAAAGAATCGTAAGAACGTCAGAAGGAAAAACAAGAATCTCCTACAGGACATAGCCAATGTAGAGAGTTCCCTAGTGAAGACCATTGACAACGATCCTAACATTTATAAATCGGACAGCGACGCCGAAAGGGATGAGGGCAGGACGAAGATCATAGACAAGACAGACGAGAATGTTTACAGGTCAGAATCTTTAATCTCTCATACTAAAAATATAATAATAATAATAATAAATTAATCTTTTATATTAGTGGCTGCATTCTCCATATTACAATATTTAACATTACAAATAAAATAACAACATTGGCTGAATGGTTGTATTATCTTAAGCCTAGTGAAAAGAAGTGAAATGAATTTAAAAAAGATAATCATTTTTTTAATATAATTTTCCATATTTCTTTACCTATTTGGCTATTTTTATTTTGTCATTCCAATTGCAAATTTTTTGCTCAGATCTGACAGCGACGGTGACAAAGGGAACGGCCAAGATTGCATCTGCGGCGATTCTGTACTTCTAGAAGATCCCAACGACCCTAGAGGATGCATGTACTTTCAGGTGAGAGCACTTATGCTTCTTTCTTTGTATCTTGAGTATCCAAGTAAGGTTGGGTATGAGTAGGACAGCCTTTGTCAGACAAAAACTGAAAATTTCGAATGTTAAACGCGAAATCATTAGGAATTTTCATAATATTTTTTACCCCTGGATGTCCAATCAAATGTTGTATAATTTAAAACAGCGTCCATAATTTTTGATGTGTAACATCTTTCCTCTCGCTTTCGTGCAATTTGTGGGAGTGATTACATGCAAGTGGGACGGAAGTGTGTAACAGGAGGTTTGGGAAGCGCGCGCTATTTGATTTGATTTTAGAACATAACTTTCAAATGGCTTGTTCCTTTTGTAGGTTTTATTTCTTTTTTTACTAATGTAAGGTGAGGTTTCAAATGTTACACAGACGTTATAACAAATAAAATACTTGAAGTCACACACTCTATCCTTCATGGAGGTTAGAGAGAAGGAGAACGATCGCTGTAGAAAATATTCTCCCAGAAATATGGACAAAATAAGTGAGGCGCTGTGATCGCTAAGTTGTCTCAATAAAAGCGGGCTAATTTGAAATGACCAATGTTGCGAAGAAAATTTGTACATTTTTCAACTAACTTCATCTACTTGTACTCATAAACAGCTAACTTCACAGATACTACTTACCGACGGCAGTGCGGCTGGTGGCTGAAAAGTGAACTATAAATTTTACAATTTATAAGAGACAGGCGAGCTAATGCTTTAGCACGTAGCGATCGTTCTCCTTCTCTCTTTCATGAGCAGCAGTACTTAAATAGGTTTAGGATACACAAAGCAATCCGTTTGTAACTTGGCAATCAGTTAACCTCGATGTTATCCTTTGTCCTGATACCACAAATGTCATTTGTAATACTAAACTAATGGGAACTCTTAGATTTTAGGCGAATGAGATTTAAGGTCCACCTGGGTTCGAATCCCAGTAGGGCAAACTACGTATATTGAATAAGAGCATTTGTATCTAAATCATGGTTGTTTTAAATTTATTAAAATATGTCTACTTCAAATTCAAAAAGAAAATTTTACTAGAAAAAATTCCACGCGGACCAGGCAGCAGACGGGACTCGATCGATCGAGACGGGAACTTTAGATTGAAACACCTAGCAGTTAAATTATATATATATATATATATATATATCTACAGTAGTGTAGAATTCTAATTTTTCTCACCTTCTAAACCTTCCCTAGACCTCCACGAATATTTCAAGACCAAGATAAGATAAATAAATACGTTCAGGCGTTCTCGAGTTTTAGAGAGACTAACGAACAGCACTTGATTTTTATATATTATACAGATAATTGCTATTTCTTCTATCAATTGTTTTGTAAAGGTATTCATTTAACATTGTGGGTCACCTACAATGCGAAGAGATGGCGCTGCCTTGCAGCCTTCGAAATACTAGAGAAAATTCGACACGAATAATTAAGGCCGCGGTCAGTGTATCCGCCCGGATAGCGGAGGGTGCGGGTTCGAGTCCCGTCTGATGCCTGGGGCCCAATTCTCTCGCGGCGTAGATATTATATCGGCTTCGAGATAATATCGAAAGTAGGGATATCTATTGAAAATATCTACTGATGGTAAAAAATGCTATTCTCGTGGATTTTCGATATTCCAATGATATTATATCTATCGTAGATATTCTTTCACTGCCGAATGCGTTCCGTTTTTCTCGATTAAGTTAACATCATAGTCTATATAAAAAATAATAAATTAGAGCAGAATTTTACAAGCAACAAAATGATATTTTATGAATTCCATTCATATTAAATATGTATACATTTTTTGAGTATAAGAAATCTCAACTTTACCTAAATTGTATGCGTATATAATTTCAACGTTATGTATAATGAAACGTCAATATTATTTAAATTCTCCCTTTTCAGGGAAGGCAAAGGGAACAATGCCCATAAAGCCTAGTCTTTAGTTATATTAATCTTCTTTTTTTACATTCGAATGTCGGTGTGACGCATTCTAATGTTTCTTGGAGTGTTTGGCACGAAATTTATGGAGTCTTTTTCTCTAAGCTTCTGTGAGGTAGTCAACACTACAATAAAGTTCTCGCGTCCACTTGACCGGAATAGCGTATATTTTAAAGATTCCACTAATTCTTCAGTTGCGCAGACGGTTGTAACACCAAATCACACCAATTTTATTTCACAATATCCACTATGAACGAATTTTAGAATAATTAAAATAAGATGCCAACCGCACTCGCAGAAATCCCGCCAAAACTCCGTATCGTCAATAAGAAAATGGTGTCGATTCTGGCATGATTCTCTAAACCTAAACGTAAATTTGACAACAGTGTATCCTTGTCATTCTCCATACAGAATGAAAAGGAGAGACTGATGTTAAATTTAGTTTTAAGTTTAGAGAATCGTGTCAGAATCGATACCAATGTCATTCATAACTTTAAAGATTTCTAACCAAATTTTTGTTTAAACGTAATTTTTTTATGAAGTCGCGTCCCTCATTTCAAATGGGCCCTCTTGCTCTCACAACGGCGGCGCCTTAGCACAGCAGCAGCAATCACGTCATTTATTAAATCATTGACGAAAACATGAATCAACTCATCCATCGTTAATATAAACTGGTGTCGATTCTGGCACGATTCTCTAAATCTAAACTTAAACTTGACAACAGTGTTTCCTTGTCATTCTCTATACAGAATGAAAAAGAGAGACTGATAATAAATTTAGTTTTAAGTTTAGAGAATCACGCCAGAATCGACACCATTGTTTACCTACTTCTTTATTTACTAATTATTTATGAAGGCAGTTAACAACATCTTGAGGTAACAATAACTGGCAAAGACACACGACAACACAATAAATAATAGGTAAAAAAAGTGGAAATAACAAGATTGACATGCCAAGATCCATAGATATTTATATATCGAAGGCTCTTTACCAGTCGATGTATGTCTACTGATCATCCGTAGATAAATATCTATTGCGACATGGTGAGAATAGGGCAAAAAGGTTTTCCTTCGATAAAAGTCAGATCATTCGATATATATCGAAGGTGATATAATATCTATGCCGCGAGAATTGGGCCCCTGGTCCGCGTGGCTTTAATTCTAATAAAATTTTCTTTAGATTGAAACATCAAGCAGTTAAATGCTTAAAAAATATATCTACTTACTTTTATAATTATGTATCATTATAAATGTATTTCTACCCGTTACCTTAACATCTCATAACACAAGCCTTACAGTGCTTACTTTGTAGTGTGAGTGTAAGAAATATTTATTTATTTGTATATTTCCTAATACAGGCTTCGGTACATGTGCTAAGGCACTCCACTGCAATATATCCCGGGTTCCAATGCACGGTACATATTGGGAATGTACGACAAACAGCTATTATTGAGGTAAGAAATATTCACCATACATACCTTACTTACAATAATACATACCTTAAAGTCTAACATATATATAGATGTAAAATATTAATGTCCCCACTGCTGGGGCACAGGCCTTCCCTACGGATGGAATAGGGAGATTGGGCCATGATCCACCACGCGGGCCCAGTGGTAGGTGCTACCGAATGCAGATGCAGCCGAAACCAACGGCGTGAAAGATGATATGTTTTTGGTCACCCTTCCAATGACCGACCATAGCGAAGGCCGTTTAACTTTAACGATCGCAGGCTGAATGCGCCATCGAGCTCTTCCATATTCCCAAAGAAATATTATTTATAATGAAATAAGTCTACATCTATTTGTAACTACTCACATATCTACATCTAAAGAAAAAATACCCCATGTCTTAGTTTCAGGCATGTTCAGTTTTCTAGAATTAAATGCTTAAAAATATAATAATCTACTTACATCTATTCTGGATATGCACAGTACTAATATTATAAATTCGAAGATGTGTCTGCTTGTCTGTTACCTTTCCACGCTTTAACAGCTGAACCGATTTAGATGAAATTTGGTATAGAAATAGTTCGACTCCCGGAAAGAATGAAATTTGGTATAGAAATAGTTCGACTCCCGGAAAGAACATAGAATAGTTTCTATCAAAATTCAAAAAAAAATCAATATCATTTATTCAGTCTAGGCTGTTACAAGCACTTGTGAATGTCGAAAAGCTACGCCATCGGTTCGCAAATCTACGGTGGGAGACCTTGTACTGAGAAGAACCGGCAAGAAACTCAGCAAGGGCTGTTTTTTTCTCCCTGTATTATATACAGAGTCGTCAATTTGAAAAATGAGTTCAATATGAGATAACCCATGAAGTCACTTTCCATTACAAATGTAAATGATAAAACAATTATGACTATAAAATAAAAAATATAAAAAACAGATTTAAAAATGAAAAAAAGTTTAGGAATGCCGTGTCCCACTGTTTAAGCATAAAAACAAATGTACCATTAAAGTTAAATACAACGATTAATAGTACCCAATGTAGCAAGAGCAGACTCATCTCCGCTGGCAGCACCCGTTCACGAGCATGACGCATGAACCAGCCATCGCTTCGCTCAACCATTTTTTAGGGAACGTAACAACCCGCCTCACACGACACCGCCGAAGAGATTTTTAAGAGAGTATGACTACCCATAACCACATATGGATACTAGGTAGCAAAATAGGGAAAAAAAAAATTAAGTACCAGTGTACATTACTATAAAAAACTATAAACACAACTGTAGGACACATGCATGTGGTTACCTAAACACTAGTGTCGACTCTGTCACTACCCTCCAAACCCAAAACCAAACCCAACATCAGTGCCCCCCCTTCACTCTGTATAGAGAATGACAAGGATACACCGCTGCAAAACCAAAGTTCAGGTCTAGAGAACCATGCCAAAATCCACACCACCATTAAATCTTTATCTCAGAAATAATAAATGTTCACCTAAATTTTTTGTTTCTGATTGCTGTGCCATACAGTATAAATACAATTACAAATAAAATTTAACTTAAATAATTAATTATCATTATAATAATAATAAAGTAGTATAGAGCAGACTCATCTCCGCTGGCAGCACCCGTTCACGAGCATGACGCATGAACCAGCCATCGTTTCGCTCAACCATATTGTAGGGAACGCAACGACCCGCCTCACACGACACCGCCGAAGAGATTTTTAAGAGAGCATGACTACCCATAACCACTCATAGAAATCATACTTAAACTATAGAAAATCTGTAACTAATAATACGAATCCGAATGGGAATTTGTTTTGTTTGTTTGTTATATCTTCACGTCTAAAAGAACGGAATCGATTATGTTGAATTTTGGTACTGAGATAGGTACAATCCTAGAAACGGTTGAAGGCTATATTTTGTCATAAAAATAAAACTTGGAGGGGGGTTAAATGAACTATGAAATTATGTATCAAACTACACAGACGAATTCGGGGACACCTAATTGTCTTCTATTATTATAAATGTGAAAGTTGTATGTTTGTCTATTTTAACTATATGTCAACATTCTGAATGGTGAAATTCAACTTGACGGCTCTGTATATAATAATACAAGGAGAAAAAACAGCCCTTGCTGAGTTTCTTGTCGGTTCTTTTCAGTAAAACGTCTCCCGCCGTAGTTTTGCGAACCGATGGCGTAGCTTTTCGACCTTCACAAGCGCTTGTAACAGCCTAGACTGAATAAACGATTTTTTAGTTTGAGTATGTCTGTTTGTTACTCAATCACACAAAAACTACTGAATGGATTTGGATGAAATTTGATACGCATATAGTTTATGACCTGGATTGAGACATCAGATACTTTATATCCCGAAAAAATGTGAGGTTCCCAAGGGATTCTGAAAAAATTAAAGTTAACGCGGACGAAGTTGCGTGCGGCCGCTAGTGTAATATAAATATGAAAGTTTGTTACTTGAGTTCACGTAAAAATGCCTGAACGGATTTGGATGAAATTTGGCACACATGTTGTTTTACCTGGTTTGAGATAACAAATACAGATTTTTGGATTTTGCGAGAACCATCACTTTTTTTGAGATACCACGTGACTTGATGAAAAATTAAATTTAATTTGACGTTACGGAGGCAGCATGATGTTTCTGTGTACTTTATTACCATGTAGGCACTATACTCTATTCAACTTCCTTTGTGACAAATATACCAATGTTTCTAAAATTATTATATCCAGTGTATTCTTTACACTTGGTTTGTGTGACCATTGCAAAATTGTACATTTCCAAGATATTTATTTGCTTTATCACTACTATTTAATTGAGTAGTATAGGGGTGATGACGGGGTACAGTAAACGAAATTCTATTTAGTCCGTCAGTTAGATGATCAAAAATTAATGGACACGTACTTTTTTTTGGGCAATCAACCAAAAAATGACGTTATAGCGCGTCAAACTTTGTATCCAATACTTTTTGATAATCTATCTGATAAACGAGGAAAAGAAAAAAATAATAATGCATTCAGAGTTTGGGAATAGCTACAGTATAAGGTCCTTTTAATGTCACTTTTTTAAAACTATGATATTAAATGCGTTTAAAAATAGACCTATTAAAAAACTGTTTTATGATTTGTTTACCTTTTGTCACAGCGGTAGTTGAATAGAGTATAGAAACATTATTACCACACAGGTACTAGGAACATATACTCGTTTGTTCCTCCGAGCATATTATAGGAACATTATTACCACGCAGGCACTATGAACATTATTACTCGTCATTTTCCCAGTGCATATTGTAGAAACTTTATTAATCGTTTGTTCCTCCGAGCATATTGTAGGAACATTATTACCATGTAGGTACTAGGACAAATTCGTTTTTTCCTCATGGCATATTGTAGAAACACTATTACTTGTTTGTTCCTCCGAGCATATTGTAGTTACTAGGAACATTATTACTCGTTTGTTCCTCAGGGTATATTATCGAGGAACAGTTTGGTAAGGGCGGGTGGCTGGGCAGCTCTAGTATTCCGTTTGACCAGATGTCCGGAATATCTTCAAAGGGGAAGAAGATTATTATTAGCAGCCGGACAAGGCACCAGGTATGTATGACTATCTATCTATTTCCAAATATTTTAAAAGGGATTTTTAGAGGGTGTGTAAAAGGCTAGGAGCTCTATATTTGATTCGCTCGCCTTAAAAAATGCGTCTAATGCGACTTAAATTACCTGCGATTTCCAAATAGCGTGATACTGATTTTCCTTATTTTTGAAACGTTCGTCTCTACTGTACCTTTTGCACGAACTAATATCAAATTCGAATAGTTTGCATGTGCGAAATGTTATTGTCAAATGTGTACTGATTTTTAAGTTCTCGTTATGTCCATTGTGGCGCTGCTGTTCAAGTTTCCATACAAAATTTGACAATAACGTTTCTCCACTCGCAAACTATTCGAAATCGATAGTGGTTCGTGCTAAGGGTACTGTTAATATTTTAATACGAAATATAAAATTTTATTCATTTTACGTTAGGAAATGCTTAGTAAATGGCTGTTTATATTAATTTCTTTATTTCAGGCAATTGCAACCCCTATGACATAATTTACAAAATTAATCTAAATAACTATATATATATTATAATTATGTATTAATACCAAAATTATATTAAAATTTAATTAGTTTAATACAATTATATTTTGCCTTTTTTGTAAGAAAGGTAAAACGTTACAAAAACCAGAATTCAGAATATTAAGATTAAATCTTTAAAATATCTGTCAAAATTTGTCAATTATTCTACCATTCGTCTTTACCATTCGCCAAGCAATGATTGGTTGAGACTATTCGTTGCAGTCAAGTGATTAAAAAAAAACAGAATTTATTATGTCGCATGAAAATTAGCAAATATCGAGCGTTCGACGCAAGGCGAGTAATTCAAAAATAGAGCTTCAGGCCAGATGCTTATAAATAATAAAAGGTGAAAAAAAGTCGGAATACGATTATAACCCATACCAAAAGGAAGATAATATATAAAAAAGGAAAATAAATTACGAGCGATTTCAGGTCAGTCGGCCAAGCGCCTAACGAGGTTGCTATGGTTATCGCTATCGCTTACGATTTATTTTTTTTATTTCTGACCGCTGGATGTTTTGAAATGCCTCGCGCGCGTTTATTTTTCTTTCGCATTGGTAATAACAATATTAAAGAAAATGAGCGTAAGGTATTTGCAAATCTTCGGGGGTCAGCAACAACAAAATGAATTCATAAGCGATAGCCCTAGCAATCCCGTTAGGCAATTAACCCCAAGGAACCCCCCCCCCCCCCCCCCCAGGAAAGGTTTCTCCCCCTTTAAAGGTACCCCCCACCATTTTCTTGACCAAAAATGGGCCGTAATTTATTTTGCCTCATTTTTAAATAAATTAATGTACCTATATAAATATGTATACACAAACCACATAACAGAATAAGAAAACCGATGGGATACTAAATCCCGTATTTTTGTTTGCAGAGCCATCGGGCGTGTCACTCAAGTGTTCCCATACGTACCTTGAATATAAGGAACCACAAATCTAAGGGTTCCAAACAACAGAGCCTTATGGGTATTGTCTGTTAGTATTTCAAAGCAATTTGTCTTAAAGAAATCTTTATAAACTGCCATTATCAGAACTCGAATTAAGTATCAGGTGTGATGAGAGTTATTGCTCTCTTTCTTTGCAATGATATTAGAGGAAGACAGCACGTGACTTTTAATCGCATTCAAAATATTTGAGGTTTTTGAGTATGGTCCAGTGGGGGATAGTGTAACAATATATATTTATATATATATATATATATATAGCTAGATGTTTAATTCTAAACAAAATTTTACTAGAAAAAAACCACGTGGATCAGGCAGCAGACGGATAGAGAAGCGGGTTCGAGTCCCGTCTGCTGCCTGGTCCGCGTGGTTTTTTTTCTAGTAAAATTTCCTTAGGCTGATGACTACTACTTAAGATAGCAGCATATGTAACTAAATACACCACGTTTTTTTCTTTTTTAAATTTTATGGCCTTGGAATTTCCCATATTGGCCAGTCATCACGTCAAGACAGACCAATGGCAAATAAAGGGCAGAGATATTCTATATGTTTTACTGTACACCTTGTTAAGGGTTGCCAACATTTCTTCATGGAAATAAAATATTTTTCTGACGATGCTATAAAAAATATAGTACACTTAAAAACAATTGTATTTAACGGAAAACTCGAAAAGTTGATGAAATAATTTAATTGTCAAAGTCCAAATCAAGTCGGAACGCAGTAAGATACGTTAGGATAAATATATTTATATATACACGCTATTGCATCAGTCGAAAGATAAGAAAAAGAACGTTAATGCATTTTTCAAATAAAAAAATATGTGAGCCTTCACGGTACGCCTGGCAGATGTGAAACACTAGTCGGTTTACGATAAATACACTCGGAGAATTGCTCGGGATGCGTGCGGTAAAAAATGACATAGGTCCTGCCTCGAAGGGCACTGGCGCCGTACTGATCGGCGAGTAGTTGAGCACTGGTATATTATATTGCTTATTACGGGCGAGCGTCGCCACGCCAGAAATCCGTTTTACGTGCCCCAAAAGATGTTTCACATTAAAAATGTGTTTGTTAGATTTCGGTGTTCAAAATATAGTATTTTTGCGTACTATACAGACCCGAAATATAGTACAATACTATATATTATAGTAAGTACGGTTGGCAATCCTACCCTTGTTACACTATCTCCAACTTAACCCTACGGCTGTTAGTTTACAAAGTATTCCAGTTTGTGCAAATTAATTCTTCTGTACTTACTCTATAACATTTAATTTCTTTATGTATGTATATATAAAATACCTAATTTTTAATTTAAGACAAGTTTTTTTGGATATATTCGTCCGATCAGCGTGCAATAATTATTAAAAATATATGTATACAAATTAATAAATTAAAAATATATGTATTATACACATTATTATTAAGTACAAGTAAAATTCATACATGATAATTATAACAGAAATATTAAAAAATATAACTCCTTAATACAATACAATAATTCTGTTTATTTCGTTTATTTTTTTAAAATAATATACCTTTTTGTGTATTAGCCAAAATTCATTTACAAAAATAGATATTCATTTATTTTTTGTACATTTTTCATTAGTTTTATAACAAAAATTATAAATATATTAATTGAACCATTAAAAATTCAATTCGAAACCAATAGAAAATAAGAAGTATTTGAACTAATTCCCGCAAAATTAACGATTTTACAAAGGAACAGTGAATTGGTACGTAAATTATTCTATTTATTAAAAAATGACAATCTAGTTATTCGAATGTAGAGATGTTTTCACAAAAGTCTTTATCTTCCCTGTCGATATTTGACCTTATATTTGATCTTTTCTTTTTGCATGTGATTTTAAACAAGATATTAGTTAAATATATTATCTAATTATTAACTATTATTCGACGACCTCCGTGGCCGAGTGGTGTATACGCCGGGTTTAATGGCATCGCCTACTCAGTGGTCCCGGTGGGGGCAAATGTTAGTATGATGAATACGAGCATTTGTACCTTAGTTGTGGATGTTTATATCATATATTTCTAGATAAGATATTTTTATATATATGTATTCTATCAGTTCCCCTAACATCCAATTACACAAGCCTTATCCCTCGTTTTCACCAAGAAACAAGTCCTAGTTTTAACCAAAACTTTTAGAATACTTGCAACGATAACTAGTATCTTACAAGTATAAATCACATATTTACTTAACATAATATTTTGTTTATCCAACGAGTTTGATACTAGTATTGTTAGTTAACAATACTAAACTTGTATCAAACTTGTAGTTGATTTTTTTTTGACGTGACAACGTCTTAAATTAGGTTGCGGCTGGGAGTCACTTATGAAAAAGTGTAACGCTCGGTAACGTTACGATGAGTCTCTCGTGTTAAGTTTAAGTTTACATGTACAATGTTTTAGTAAACAAAATATATTTCTATAGTTAAAATTTGTGCAATTCTTATTTTCATTCAATTCCTTGTTCCTATTGTGCAATTTAATTATATTCATATCAATAAATATTCTACCGAGAAAAAGACGTTGTCACGTAAAATCTTCGCCCGTAAAACCGACTTTACAGGCAACCATTTTTTTCACACTTATATGCTTACACTTATATATGTACTATAAAACATTTTACTACGTGTTCGGTCTATATGACACAACAGTTACGTTAATATAACATGTAGGAACATGTTTTATAATACATATATGTTAGTGTTATATAACTCATATCATAAGTGTTAACGTGTAAGTGTGAACAAAAAAATAAGATATTGTATGAAATTTATATTATACCTTGGTGTAAACGCGGGGTAACAGTCCTTACTTTGGGGCTAAGCTTATTGGTGTGAGTGTGGGAAATATTTATTTAATTAAACTTTTCTAACTGCTTATTATAAGAACTCACATTCGACATTACTGGATTGACAAAATGTAGGTAGGTAAATTCCGTTTTATCTATTTGGCCTAAGTTATAATTATTCATGTATGTTTTATACGAAAAAGTATTCATCATATCACTTTTTTTAGATTATAATTATTATGACTAATTATTTAACAAATTTAGTTTAACTAATGACACGAATTGGCACGCACAATTCATTACTGTTACATATAATATACACGTTTATTTGTAGTTTATTTTGATGCTGAATGCCTCTTAAAAGAGAGGGTCTTTTAATCTTTATATTGATAACCAACATGGCGGAATGACGGCTATCGCGTCTGAATTCGTCGCTAGAGGCGCTTGTGTAGCGTGAGGTCTCGGAAATGTCCAATGTTATTACTTGTGGGTTGACTACGCGTGTTTATTTCTAATGGAAATAATAAATTTGGTAAAATTATGTCCTCTTTTTTTACAAACAAAACGGAACTACGCAACACTGTGGCATGGCCGATTATGTTTACAATACAGTTCTTTTCTATTAAAATATGATTTAAATGTAAACTTTGATTTCACGCGCGTATTAACAAAGCAACTCTTCAGGTTCTCACTCAACAGTGGCGCCATCTGGTGAGAGAAAAACGGTAGCCCTCATTAGATAGTGAAATGACAAGACAACATTTAGTAGCAAGCAATTTTGTAAACTCAGAAGAGAATAGAAAATCACTTGTATTAAGTATATGTACCTTCATACAATGTAAATTATTTACATCATTTTTAGAATAATAATAAAGGGAAGTTTATAAAGTAATATGTAAGTTTCAAAAATCAGTATATTTGTGAGTTGAGTTAATGACGCTTGCTACTATATGTTCTCACATAATTTAATGTCATATATGTTTTTATTTCTTGTTGACATGTTATCACATACTCAATTATACTACTTAATAGCATAATTATGAGGATTTCGCCTCCAAGATTTAATTATAATGACAAAAACGACACTAAAAATCTTTACTAATAAAATAATATAACAAAGTATTAAAGAAAAAAATAGCACTTTTAATGGACATATTAGATGATCTCAACCCATGTGAGTTAGAATTTACTTACTGACTACTAACTTTTACACGTTAAATTAAATTTAATTAGTGATGATTAACACCAAAATTTTTGACATTAATTTTATCCAATATTGTACATCCGACAGTGCATAATGCGTGTGTGCTTTCCATGACTTAACGACTTTTGATTGGGTAGGTAAATTATTTTATTATAACTTTTAAAAAAATGTGTTGCCTGAACTATGTAAACGAAAGAGTTTTTTAAATCCGCACAGAATTAAAAAAAAAGTTTCTGTTTTCAAAATTTAATCTTGAAATAGAATAACTAATAAATATGTAAAAGAGTTATATTTAAAACTCCTAAAACTGATAGTTAGCAAAATTCTATATAATAGTAATAATTGGAGTGTTTTAACCGAATTGGCCTTTATTCCTTTAGGAATAAAGTATAAATTTGTGTGAAATGTACCTGTTTTGTCTACTAACTAGAATGTACCTTAGTCTGTTCGCATGGTCGAACTTTGTGGACATGACTTTAACATTTTTATCTTCTTCGTCTTAAAGAGAAATATTGCAAGGATGTTTGAATGTGTTTTAATTAGTTCCAATGTTAGTGAATTACATTAATAGGCACTTTACAACTGTTCCTTTTTATTTATTAAAAATATACATAAACAGGTATTATAAGCGTAGAAACTTTAATCGTACATTTCACAAATTACAATAAATCAGTGATTTTAGGTATTACATAAAGTCATATTGTTTTAAACTTTCATGCTCACTAACATTATTGTGTTTTATACGAGATTGCTTCCATGTACGTTGTCGAGAACAGTTTCGAGTAAACAGTGAGAAAGTGAACAGTGGTACGGGTATCGAACGCAATAAAAGACTTCGTCGGAGGGTAGACCGATATGTCTTCTAATAACATCAAACCCGCAATTACTTCAGTTAATCCGTGATAATGGGGTTTGCAACAGTGCCGAAATATCGAGGACTCGCTATAAACAAGGTACATGGCAGCCATCCCGTAAATAATATTGACAGAGGTGTCGATTCTGGCATGATTTTCTAAACTGTCTCTCCTTTTCATTCTGTATAGAAAATGATAAGGATACAGTGTTGTCATATTTAATTTTAGGTTTAGAGAAACGTGCCAGAATTGACCCAAGAGTCAACTATAT